CGAATAAAAGATATACGATGAGCAAATTTTGCGGTAATGGCACAATGCCAAGTCTGTCGAAAACATGATAGTTATTATCATTAGCATGACCTTCGTTGTTAATTAAAAAGGACAGCTATAACCCAACCTTAAAATTGCTTTCGAAAATTGGTTTCGAAATTTTATATAATTAGAAACAAAATAAGCAGATCCAACGATAGAACGATTTCACACAATATTTCATTGATTATGTGTGACAAAGGTTTTTCGAAAAGTTTTGCTCAGTTACTTTTGTAATATGCTATATTCTGCAGCACAATTTTAAATTATCTAATAGCAATCTCAGAAATTTCTTTTGAATCTTACAAATTATCATACTCAACAAACTGCTTTCTGGATGACCAAAATAAGTGTTAATAATAAATATTGCATTGGATTAATGACTGTAATATGTTTCTTTATTCACGGATCTAGTCAAATGGATGTTCATACATGAGGTCTGTATTTGAAACCAGCTACTTAAATACAAATTGCAAGTTTTCAAACTGCATACATGTTCCTAATGATATGTCAATTTGCATGTAATAAGTAATAAGTTCATTTCCATGTAGTTGACAGCTAACCCATTGAAGTGAATGTTTCAGTTATAGCTCCAGGAAACTTAAATCAGCTTTTTGTAATCCATTGGTGTTATAATAATCACTGCACACAAAATCCTCAAGACTCATATAATGCCTTCAAAAGAAACTTCTTAAATGGAAGGGCCTCTTAGTTTTTTTTTGTGGAACCAGGAGATTCGTTTTTTCCCTTTAATTTTTTTTTGGCAATTACTTTTGCTGTTTAATTATTATACGCCACGGCAGTAACTGTTCTATTATAGTCTACAAATCTGTAATAAGTTTTGACCGAAATAGATGGTTAAATTTACATCATCTAGAACTTATTTTATGGAAATGATTAATGTTTCATAATAAGAGGGCCCAAGAAGCCGATTGTTGTATGAAACACAATTCTATGAAAGTTAATATAACTTTTATATCGATATTATTCGGTTTAAGTTTTTCCTCAATTTCAATTTCGGCAATTGTAAACATGGAGTCAGTGTGATTTTCATCTGGTCATAGCTATTAAAATTCTCCCTTTCGAACAGATTGTTGGTCTTCGTCTCTATAATCTTTAATGTCACCCTGTTCATAAAAAAGTTTATAAGCAGCCAACGAATCATTTAGGATCCTAATCCTGCATTAGGAATTCCTATCTGTACTATATTCCATATAATTAGATATTTTAGAATAATCAAGTTATATTACAACACAGAGGCCATCTGCTGACTTGATGAAAGTAAAAAACAAAACAGTACGTGAGAGATCAATTTTTTTTTGTCGACACATTTATTTGTTGACGATTATCTTTGTTTGTAATGAGAGCAATTTCATTTGGGTTTGATATTTTGAGACTTTTGTGTTTTGAAGTTGTAAGTTTCTCTAATGAATCCTAACCGTGAAATTTTATATCCTATTTCACGTGAAATTTGCAGCTCCAACACATGACATAAAAATATTAAAAACATCGATACCTACCGGTAGTAATTTTTTTACAGAGAAAACTTTGAACTTCATTTCAGCAACGGAGAAGGACTTTAACGTGTATGCACGACATTTATTATTGTGTTACTATTATAAGCATTATTTTCCAGCACATACAAATCTTGATATTCTTCCTGTAACTCTATTTCAACAAATAAATTGTTTCAGAAATCAACAAAAGGATGAATAATTATACTTTTATCACGAATTCAACGTGATGTAGGCGGTCGTGCGTGCGCCCAACTTAACACGCGGTTTCTCGAAAACGTGTTCTCGCACACTAGGAGGGTTTTATCATGGGTCACATATTAAGAACTATAGCTACCATATCACTTTTTAATGCTCATCAAATAATTTTAGATCTGGTAACAGTACTAATTTTCTGGAGTTATAGGTGATGGTAACAAATTTTACTAATCAATATTGCACGCAAACCATTATGAATAACAACAGTTTCACATCTGATTCAAGAATATGCGATTGGTCTCTGATAGACATCTACAAAATAAAGCGTTTTTTTTTTGATTAATTATTAATATGGGTATAGTTGGTCTACCACATCTAGCATATTATTGGAGCAGGGAGCCTAAGTTTCAAAATGAATTTGCTTCTGCGACTTTGCGAATAAATCCAGAGTTTGGTCGATAAAATGGTCCATAATTTCTAGACGAGTATCAATCACTAATACAGTTCCGTGGCCGAGCTGTTATGCACCAATATCTAAAAGAAAAACGTGATAAGTATGGCTTTAAAATATCGAAGCACTGTTCTAATGGAGGCTATACTTACACGATAGAAATTTACGCCTTCAAGAATCTTGACCAATCGCAAACGACGCCATCCAGAGTAGTAATGAAACTGGTTGAACTTCTGCTGGACAGCCGTGGTCACGGGCAATTGGTACACTCGTCTATCATTGGCAGAAGAGTTGCTAGATAGACAAACATATCTAATTGGTACCTTGAGAAAGTATCGCAAAGCAAATAACTGTTCTTTTCTGGATAAGCGGTACATCGTGATGCTCTCTATAAAGCAGATTCGCAAATTTAAGTATGAAATCGTCGAAAACAAATAGAAAGAACCAGAAGTAGTACTTCTCTTTTCGTAGCATTACAACACGGGGTCTTCGCTGACTTTGCAATTTGCCTCCATTTGCTGCGGTCCAACATTAGTTCCTGTGGTCGTTCGATATTTAGGGTTCCTAGACCAACTGGAATATTATCCCTCCACCGCATCCTCGATCTTTACAGCGGCCGCCTTCTCAGTAAGGACTCGTCAGGGACCAACTTGACAACACGTTTGTCTTGTTTCCTAACATGGCCAGTCCATCTTAATCTTTCTGACTTTACTATTTTTACTATATCTAGCTGGTTATATTGTTTTCTCTATTACTAGTACTGTTGGATAATATTGTCGTTGATTGGTCCATCAATCCCTCTAAGAATCCTTCTTTTGGTGATTTTTAGTCAGTTTTCATTTTGTGTAAATTTGTTATCAATCACTTGTGTTATATTGTTGCCAGTGGTGATGGTAGTTCCCAAATATTTAAACTGATAAACTAACTCAAAATTGTAATTCTATTCTAGTTTTATCTCTATTGATTCGTCAGCGAACTTCTATTGCAGCAACTCCTAGTTTAATGAACTCTTCCTTGGCATCGATAGTTGTATTTTCCACTGTATATGTCACTGTATGTCTATGTCATCAGCGAAAGCTAGTATAATTCGAGGACAGTGGTTCTTAAAAAGGAGCGTTTTTGTGTTTGTCTTCCGTACGACACTTTGCAATACGATGTTAAAGAAGAGTTGTTGATTGCAAAGAAGTTCGACATCTTTTCTTTTAAGTCTTACTGCACTTGTGGATCCATCTACAGAGTCTTTTAACACATTTTTTCCGTATACAGTTGATTCCGCTTAATTGGGACACCGGTTAATCGGGACAGCCTCTTATTTAGAACATATTTCAAAAATGTGATTCAAAGACTTTAATTTATGCGTACTTGGCTTTATAGGGACAGCCGCCTTATTGGGACAAAATGCCTCGGTTCCGACGTGTCCCAATTAAGCGGAATCTACTGTATATCTATAAATAGCTGGTGCAATGTTTGTTGTATTCCAATAATATTAGGAAAAAGACTTTATATCCTGTATAATGGATACACCTCGTAGTTTGTGCAGTCTTTTTTTGTACTATTTTTTTTTGGATTGGTATTCGCTCTTCTTTCCATATTGGCAGATTAGCTGATAGAAAGTAAGCACCAAAGTGTCTCCTCCACTTTTAGACATTCTGCTGATATAGTGTCGTTTCCTGGAGTTTTGTTATTTTTTAGTTTGCGGATATCTCGTAATACTTCTTCCACTAGGGATTCGGCCGTAGAACTGACTTCATCTGCCTGCACATTCAATATCCTGTCAAAATATCTTTTCCAGGTCTCTATCACTTCAGCTTCACTCAAAAGGTTGGCCTCCGTCATTCCTTATTGCAGTTCCACCTCTGGTTCTGAAGCCGTTTTTCATATTCCTTACCTCCTGGAAAAAGAGTCTATTTCTGTTTATTCTATTTGACTCTAATTCTTCGAAAATATTCTCCTCGTGTGCCCTTTTTTTGGCTCTTATAGTTTTTCTTGCTTTTTTCCAGAACTGTCTCTATTCCTGTGTATTTTCTTACTTTGTATCTTACAGCACTCGTTATCGAGCCTAGACTCTTAGCTTTCAGACTCTCTCGTACTCGTAGTCAAACCATTTTCTCTTCTTTGTATTCTTTCTTTTTCCTGCGGTGGTTTGTATATTGTGAATCATTGATTTTTTATTGTTTGCGTCAGCACTAATTTGATTTGCTATTGATCCCAATATAGTACTTGCTTACAATAAAGGGAAATCGCCTGTTGCTCACTCAGATCAAATGTCAGTCAATCACCATTTACAATTAGAAAAACTGTAAAGTGGTATCGAAAAGTGGCGGTTGAGATTTTGTTGAATACTGCGTATGATAAATGTGTGGTTGATGTATAAAGGGATCAAACATACGGATATACAATGCAATGCTCGCCCTTCTCCAGCAGAATAAGTTCAAGCCGTCATGTCAAACAGAAATCACCTCATAAACTGTCTGTAAGAGGGATTCGAGCACGTAAACTGGAGTGAAATTCTATATTATAGCATCAGGATTTTATTACCGTAGGAAAAATTTTCAAATCAGTATTTTATTACTAACAAGGTTATTTTATTTATTTGTTATTGGTCCTTTTACGATGATAAACACTGGTTAAATTTGTAAAACTGATTCGGTAATATCGTTGTTTGAAAAAATTATCTCAGTCATATAGATCTGGTTGTTTTAGCGGAAAACTATTTGCTTGGTCATATTAGCAGAGAATTTTAGATTATTTTAGATTTGATTAGAATTAAAACTATAATTTCTTTTTTTTTGTTGCAGGTTTTGTGTTGGTGATAGATTTTATTTATGTGAAAACAAAATCCTTTGCGAATATGATTACGAAGAACGATTAGTCTTTGCAAATATGGCGTACAACCCACCACCTTTAGCCCATTTAAAACGACAAACAGCTATACCACCAGTAAGTACTTTAATCTTAACACTTTTCAACTGTTTCATTAGAAAAGTTAATTTTTTTTTAATTTTCTTGTGCATCCGGTTTCAACTTCAATTTATTTGTCCATTAGTTACGGGGGTTTCCGAAAAAGGTTCTGTGTTTTCGACCGAAACGATACGGAAATTGAACAATTATCGATTATTTTACACCAAAACCGTTTTTTTATATCTAAATTTGTAATCGAGGTTACAAAGATACAGTTAACTGATTTTCTACGCTTTGAGAATTTATTTGTTTATTTTTTCTTAAAACAATAAATTTTGTAATAAATAATTTCTTTTTTTATAGACTCCAATTCCAAATCAAATGATGAATGGTCATCGACCTCCAGTTCCGTCATCAAACGGCGATTTAAATAATAATATGTCGGGTTCCGGTCAACCACCCCCAAATACAATGGCTCAACCCTTCGCAAATGCAGCCGGTCATTTAAAATCTGCCGCAATGTCTTTGGGAGCAACTAGCTGAAACTGACATTAAGTGACGATAAACTGTGATTAAGATTTAAAGTGGTGATGATTTTATGATAAGTAGTGGTTTTAATTGTGACGATTAAAATAAATTCAAAAGATCATAATAATTATAAAGAGTAGAGGAAGAAAAATTAATGCTCAAGTGTAAAAAACAAGTTGTTTCAAGTATTTAAAAAATCATGGATTAAATAGTGTTTTAAGAGATTCTTTGTGAAAAAAAAAGAAAAGGATTAAAAGTGTTTGTACATCTTCATCTTTGTAAATAGTGATCGTTAATTAAATTAACCATTCCTTATCACTTAATTATAAAATTATTTGTAAATAGGTGAGAAAAAATGTAATTATTTCAAAAGAAAAATATTAAATTAACTTTAAGATGATATAATCTGAAACACAAAAACATGTTAAAAACATAAATAACGAAGAACTCGTAATAGATTAATAGTGGAAAAAAATTGACTTTGTGTCAATCATCCTACAATATTCTGTATATAAATGATATCTATGGTCACCGCCCGTTAAGAAAGATTTATAAATTATTTCGTTTTAATAATCTTTTTCTCAAAAGGCGAGATAAAATAAAATTATAAATAAATAATAGGTGCCAATTCAAAAAAAAACCTACATTTTCATTAATAATTTTTAATTTCCAACTTATACCAAATGATTTCGACCAAAGAAATAAACTAGTACGATGATTAAAAAATTGTTTTAATTGTCGTTACCCCAAAACAAAAACAAATACAAACATCGAATATACCTTCAATATATCCTTTGTGAACAAAATCCCATAAGCTTAACTTTTAACTCTTAAAAGAAGAGAAAGAGAAAGAGTGAGTTTACCTCCCCCTCGCTTCAATATCCCCATTATTGTTGTAAGTTCGAGTTTACAAGCTACGAAATTAAAGATCGTGCCGATAGCGGCCTCATCAAGAGGAAAGGAGATCGACTTCTTCGTCGTTTAAACGCGTTAGAACGAGAAGAGACCAGAAAATGGGGGACGTGAAGCAATTTTTCTTACGCCGCAAATCTGAAATTGCTCAATATAATAAGGTGGGTTATGAGTGTGTGTGTGTGTATGTAGTAAATGGACTGCGCCCCCCGAAGGATATTAATGTCTCTGGGAACATTTTGGCGTAAGATGTTTTGAACTTAAGGTTTTTATTAAATTAATCAGAGAAGTTATTAAATAAATTTCAAAAAAGTTATTTTATTACAATCTTGAACTTTCTATTTTCAGATAAAAAAACATATTAACCAAAAAGACATTTGAAATAAGTCACGAATTTAATGAGTTTTTAGGAAAACGTCAATTATAAGAAAAAACTTGAGTTCAACTTACATGATTTATTATAATGACTTTCTGTTGGATTTTTAAGTCACAAAAATAGGCTATAATGTTTATACTTCTTATTATTGTCTTAAATCGAGGAGATTAACTTGGTAAACAACCTTTAATTTTTTTATTACAATCTAAAATTAAAGTTTATAACAATTAAACTAAGATTAGAACTAAAACTAGAACTAACACTAGAAACTTTCGGGTTTTGCCGTGCGTCTTTTAATAAAAGGTTTGACGTTTCGGATGCCATGTTGCAACCTTCTTCAGAAACTGGTTCGAAGTGTCACCACTTCGAAGTTTAATTCACACCGGCCGTGAAAGCCTTCGTACTTATTGTATAACAATTTTTTGAGAAAAGGTGGTTATCTATGATAGGATGTGATAGTCTGATGAAATATTATAAAACGTAAGTACTAATGCTCAACCTACAGCATATAGGCCACAAGCAGCAAAACAATACCGTAAGATGGAGTTACTTGGACACGTTTTTGGCACATTTTTTAAGATTAAAAGTGCAGAAATAAAGTTAGGGCAACAGAAACTTGTTCATCATACCAACCTAACCTTCAGGATTATATATCATAAAACATTGAAAATACGTTATACAACCAACAAAAAAATATATAAAAAAGTGATGTCCGAATAGCCCCCTCGTTGGGGCTTCTTGGACACTAAACTTCGTTTTAGGGACAATCTCTTACTTTACATGTCAGATGGTCAAATTCCTCTGAAAATGTAACTGAAGCATTAAGGAATGTATTTTTATGTCAATATTATTAGTATTTTTTTATTGAATTAAACATTAAAAAATAATAAATAAATTTTAACAAAACTGTATTTATTTCTTCTTACAAGTGTTTCAAAAAAATCTTGTAAAGTTAACCTTAAATTTATTTAAATCGAAATAAATGAAACAAAAATTAACGTATTTACCAACAATAAACATATTAAAAACAAAAAACCACTGTTCTATAGCACAATTCAAACTTCAATTTAATTGAATCTCATTTTTCCTTCATAAATTTCTTTAATCCTGAACGAAGGAAATCTTTGTCTATTGATGATTGCTATCATCAAAGATTTCTTCGTGTTCCGACCTGGACCGCTTGATGTTTGACGTTATTTTGATGAACAAGTTATTTCTAGCGATAAAAGAATCGATGAAATCTGGACCTGGATTGTTCTTGAAGACCTTGACCTGTTTCCCTTGTTTATCTGTGTACTTTTTTACCGCATCTCGAATGTCGGCCTTTGTCAAGGGGAAGCCCGAATTCGCAACAACAGTCAAAGTTTCAGAAATCAGCAGCTCATCAGACTTGCTTAAAACAGTCGGATGTTCAACGGGTCTTGAATTCCTTCCAAGCATCTTCCCTACACAATGTTGTCCGAGGCACTTTGAACGTTTCTGCGGCCTTTTTCCTTAACATCCCCTTCCAAACTGCATTCAGAGCCTTTTCCAAGTCTTCCACTTTGTAATTCATGTAGGATTTTGATTTTTGAATAACAAGAAAAAAAAGCACCAGAAACAAAAACATAACCTAACCTCGCTTTCGTGTCAGAGGACTGAACACGTATGCGTTGTATCCATGTAGCCTCGGGGTGGCCAAGTAGCCCCATCTTATGGTATAATAGCTTTTATATGGCTCGTGAAGTGCCTCCATGTAGTCTTACTGTAGTCTTACCATGCCTCTGCCGCATCGGCAGTTCATGCCCTATTGTGTAGCACTCATTCCATAACTCTTTTTGCTCATCGGTCTGTCGTGATTCTCTTCTCACGTCGGTACCACACTGAGAGAAATAGATTGTACGAATCGTATTATAGAAAAAATATTATACATGCAGCAATTCATTGTATTATAGTCATCTCGTCTCGCTGTCACTATTCGTAGTAAACGTATTATACCTTATAGTATATTTTTAGTGCATAGTACAATCCATTTCTCTCAGTGCATTTATGTCTCTTTACCTGGTGCTTATGTCAATTCGAACTTTTTGCTGGATATAAACATTCTTTACTGTATCTCCCCTTGTCTTTCTGCAGCTCCATCGCTAAGTACTCTATTTGCATTACATTTATGTTCGACTTATTTCTCCTGTTCACTTCGCATAATTCTGCTCCGTAGGTTTCAACACTTTCGACAAGAGTTTCATGTATTTGTATTTTGTTTCTTTTGTGTATTTTCTTACTCCAGAGAACATTATTCAGTCCCTTGATTCACTAATTAGTTCGTCATTCCTCTCCCCCTGGTCTGTAATTTCAGGTACTTCCACGTATATATAGGATGTCATATTTTTAGTAGTGACGCCCTCTACACGATAATCTTCTCCCACATCACCCACGACCAGGTATCTAGTCTTTTCCGGGTTAGTAGATATATAAGCCCATAATCCTCATATTGTAATTTTAATTTGCTCAGCATGTAATCCACGTCTAGTCTATCCTCGAAAATTATCACCTGGTCGTCAGCGAAGTGTAATTTGAAATGTTTGGCTTGGTTCCATACTAGAACATTGTTTCCTCCATTTTCGTAAAGCGTCCTTTAAAGATATTTTAAAAAATATTGGGGCTATACAGCATGCTTGCTTAAGTTTTGTAGTAATTGGGAACGAGTCGAACAGATCATTTCCGATTGTTACCACGCCCATCATATTTTTATAGAGATTTTGTACAGCATTCACATATACTTTCCTAACTCTGTGGTTATTCATAGCACCCCACAGATTTCCAAAGAACACACTGTCATAATATGCTTTTTCCAGCTCTATAAATACAAGACCCACATTGTGTTCATATTGTGCGCTGGTTTCTTGTGTTTGTTATGAGTGTGGACTGTGGATATACGACCTACAAGTCCTGAAACCGTATTGATGTTCTTCATCACGTTTTCAATTCGCTGTTTAATGAAGCTACCATACACCCTAGAGATCGTACTAATTACACTTATCTCTCGGAAATTCGAACATATTTTTCTATCCCCTTTCTTATAAATATTACTACATACGCAATAGTCTATTTTTTGGTCCTATCCTCTTAGGAAGTTATTAAATATATGCGCTAGTAACTCAGCTAGTTGTTCAGCTGCTTCTTTTAGTAATTCCGTAGGTATATTTACCGGTCCGAGTGATTTTTCGTTCTTCATCCTTGTTATCGCGCTTCTTACTTCGCCCGCTGTTACCTCCTCTTCATCATTCAATAAGCTGTGTTTCTGCTCCTGACATACATTACTTTCTGCAAATTCCACTCTATCTTCCTTCAACAGTGCCAGATAGTAGTACACCTAGTTCTTCATTGTGATCGTTTTTATTCTAGGTCTTTAGGTTTTTAATGATTTTTTATATTTCCCTAGTTCTAGTTGATCCCATATAATTTTCTATACGTCTACAAATTTCTTCTCACATTTCGTTCTTTTGCTTGCCAACTATTTTCTTCACTTCCTTCTTGAGAATTGCATATTGTTCTCTATCTCTTGGATCACCTGTTGAGAGTAATTTTTAGTAGAGTTTCTTCTTTTCTATAATGTGTTCTTCCAGGTCTTCCCTCCACCATTCAGTTCTGATTTCGGTGTAGTGCTCTTTCTTAGTAATGTATTCACAGTAGGCATGTTTCTGAACTTTATCTTAACCTATTTATTTTTGGAATAGCATTCAAAGTCGTTCCTGAAATTACTGGATTGAAATATCTCTTGAGAAGATGATTCAGCTGTCTTTTCATCTCTGTGGTGGACTGTCTGATCGTTGTAACAAAATCTCTTCCTCATCTCAATTTGTGCTGGATTCCAGATTGGTGTCTGATATCGGAGTTGTTAATTCTGTCCCATCTGGTCTTTCTTGAGATTGCTCTCAACGTCTTCATTTAAATACGATAAGTCATTATTTGACGGATGTAGGCCGTACTTTACTAGCCATACATATGAATTTGATCGACTTCTCAACAATTTGATTTCACAAAGCCTTTGCAGGGTCGTGAGTGCTTGAGATATGCATACCCAAGTAGGAAAATAACATGACTTGTTCGATGGACTACACATGATCAGTTTACATCTTGTTTAATTTTTGAAGTAGAGACAACTATGTTTAGGATTTCGCTCGGTTGATAGAACTGGTGTAGTGGCCTTTGCAGGTCATTTTCTGATTTGTCTTTATTATGCAGATTTTCTTTTGGTCCATTTTATATCCTAGGTTTAAAGTTATCGCGTACTCGATTATTTTCTCCATAAATAAGTTGAATAAAAATAGGCTGACAATATCGTGTTGTCGGATGCCACCTAGTGTGAGGACGTTTTTATTCTTCTCAGTATGTCTCCTAATCGCACTGTCAAATAATTTGGACAAATCAACAAAGCATAGATAGGATGTGTATAAAT